GTGGGGTTCAGTTTTTTTGCTCTTTTGAGAAAGTGGACATTTGGGGCAGGTTATATAATCACCAGGCTGTTGTTCTTCAGCCATTTTTTTTAAACTTGGACCACTTCACCTTATTAGTCTTATTTAGTGTTTCTTGGGTTGGAACTCACAATAACGGCCAACTGAAAGCTGTTGTCAGGTAACAAAAACATTAACATTAACATGGCTGGGTTGTTGTAAGCTCGGTTAAGATAACCCAGGGTTAGTGCAAAATTTGAATTCAGATACAGCTGTATGAAAGCTTAATTCTCTAATTTGATTATTGGATACTCCAAAAAAATAAAAGACTGAGAAAATTATCAGAGAAAATGCCAAAAAGAAAACCAGATTTAAAAATCAATTTAACCCCCAAGTTGTGCTAACCCTACCTTCAAATTTAAATTATTGTTATTATTAATTATATAGCTGCTAGTTTAAAATCTGATAAAATTATTGTCAGTAAAGCGGTTATTGTTTAATTTTTATGAGCTGTCCAATTATTGATTAATTTGGATAGTTCCAGATGGGACTTTCCTTTACAAATAGGCAAACTGTCCAATTTAAGAAAAACAGGACAGCTGGTTTGAGCCAATCAAATGCTAGAAAAAAACAATAGGCACTGCAAACTAGCCAATCAGCGCAAAGTCCCTGTAACAACGTGCCAAAAAACATCTTGTTGGCTGACGGTGGTTTGTTGGCGAACACTTTTGGCATGTTGCTGTGAATGTTGTTTTGTTTTGCTGATGTTTTGTTTTGGCCTCTTGTCTGGGCTTGATTTAAAAGGAAAATGTACATACCGGTAAGATCAAACTGATGAAAGTTTTCATTAACTAACCAGCTATATAATAATTAAATAAAAGGACTACAAGCTTGTCTAATTTGGAAACAATGATTTTTCAAGAATTAAAAAAATTTCTCTCGCAATTTTGGCTGTCCTTGGAATTTTTTTTCATCCAATTATTTCCAAATTGGACAGCATGTAGCTGTATTAATTAATAACTGCAGGCAGGCTTTTGTAGTCTTTTTGTAAACATCTTCAATGAATTTTTCTGTGAAACTCTGACAAAATTATGAACACTTGAGATATTTCGGGAATGTTTGTTGTCTTATGATCAATCACAGCAAATATCAAGACATGTGAGTTTGCCAGAAAACCACGATCTCATTTATCATCATTCCTTGTGGTTTAGTTTTGCTCATGCCTGATTGTCTTTTTTTTTCTTACAATACATGTTTCAGAAATATTTCTGGTGTTTGTTTGGGGATTGTGGTTTGTCAGTAAAAAGATCAAAGCATTAGGCTTTATTTATTTAATCTGACTGCTAGGAAACATTAATTTTTGCAAAAAAGGGCATCCATATATACATGTAGCTAGGAAAACTATTATATATTCTTCTTTTCTACTTGGCATTTTGAATTTTTTTTTGTATAATTTGTCTCTTACATTTCTGTCCATTTTACAGAACCCCTCCTATCTGGCTATGTTTTGGAAATTTCCATAACCATCACAAGTTGGATATCAAAACATTTGTACGATTAAAGGGATGACACCAAAAGTGACAGCTGAGGATGGCAGTGTCGCATTTGTGGTTTCAGGCATTCCAGGTATCAAAAGCTTTTTCTTGACCTTCTAAACTGGTATGAGACACTTTGTTCTGTGACTGGGGTGTCTAGCAGAGGATAAGCCTAGTCCTAGTCATCTCAGTCAACCCAGTCATCTCAGTCAACCCAGTTATCCTACTTATCGCAGGTTCATCATCGTCATCCTTGCCATGCTAGTCACCACAGGTATCCCAGTCATTCCACTCATCCTATGTATCCCAGTTATAGAATCATTCACCTTCTCCAACCCACCCTTGTCATCCTAGTCACCAAAGTCACCATTGCAAATGCCTGTGATCCTTGTTCATCCCAGCCACCCCAGTCATCTCAGTCATCGTAGTAATCACAGTCACCCTTGTCATCCTCAGTAATATTAGTCATGAACCCTAGTCATTCTTAGTCATTGCAGTCATCCAAGCCATGCAGTCATCCTTGTAATCCCAGTCATTCCAGTCACCATAGTCACCCTAGTTATCCCAGTCACCCTGGTCATTCTGCTTAATGCTCAAGAGTAAGTTACCAGTTGCATCTTGTTTCCTGACTATGAGAATCACATAGCGAGAATCATTGAAGCGGTAATTGTTGGCATGAATATTATTATTGATGACACGTCCAGCAAGAAACCATTTTGTGTAGTGTTACCTTAAAGACTGAAGAAAACAGGCATTAGACTTTGCGTAATTTTAAGTTTCTTTCAGGAAGTTTTCTTTGAGCTTGTCATTAGTATACTGTTTAATTGGACTTTCTGAGTTTTCTTATTTGTTTATAGTGATTGACATTAACTTTGGCACTGCATTCAGTAATGACCTTTCCTTTGCCCAAACATGAAAATCGCTTGTAGTTTCCTTGATTTTGTGAATGAACAAACCAATGTGGGAAGAAACAAATATTCTTCAAATTGCTGGCTGATGAGAAATGTGTAGTTACGTTATCTTTCACGTGTAGTGGCAAATTTCACGCATGAAATTGAAGTATCAACAACATCGATAAAAATTCAACTTGGTGTATACAATGAAATGATGGTATAGCTTGTTGTTCTTTATAGTTTTTTTTATACAGTCACTGTCATGTACGAGATTTAAAAAAAGCCTTTTTACTTTGTAGAATATCGCCAAACGCATTTTGCTGACTGTTTTTGCAAAAAATAAAAACATGGAAGAATTTCAAATTTTTTTACCAAAACCATGGACTAACCCCTTTGCAAAAATCCTGATTTTTTGACTTTTTATTTTTCTGTTTTTTATAGTCTAAAAACGCTTTTTGACTTTCTAGAATAACATCAAACACATTTTGCCGGTTGATCTTGCCAAAAATAAAAACATGGAAAAATTTCAAATTTTTTCCAAAGCCATGGACTAACTCCTTTGGAAAAATCCTGATTCTTCGACTTTTTTAACTTTCTGATTTTAGAGTCTAAAAACTCCTTTTTTTTCTTTCTAGAATAATTATCATCAAAATAATACATTTTGCTGGCTGATTTTGCCAAAAATAAAAACATGGAAAAAATTTCAACTTTTGACCAATGGACCAACCCCAGCCCCTTTGGAAAAATACCAAAATTTCGACTTTTTTATTAAACTTTGTGATTTTAGAGTCAAAAAAACGCCTTTTTCCTTTCTAGAGTAACAACAAAAACATTTTCCTAGCCTATTTAGCCCACAATAAAAAGATGAAAAAAAATGCAAAATTTTTAACAAAACCATGGACCAACCCCTTTGGAAAAATCCTGATTCTTCGACTTTTTAACTTTCTGTTTTTTATAGTCTAAAAATGCTTTTTGACTTTCTAGAATAACGCCAAACACATTTTGCTGGTTGATCTTGCCAAAAATAAAAAACATGGAAAAATTAAAATTTTTAACCAAAACCATATGGATTAACCGCTTTGGAAAAATCCCAATTCTTTGACTTTTTAACTTTTTCATTTTAGAGTACAAAAATGCTTTTTTTCCTTCTAGAATATCATCAAACACCTTTTGCTGGCTGATTTTGCCAAAAATAAAATGATGGAAAAATTTCAAATTTTTGACGAAAACCATCGACCTTATCCCATTTTTTTTACTTTCCGTTGTCTTAAAACACTTTTTTCTTGTCTACAATATGGTCAGACACATTTTCCTGGCCTATTTTTCTTTAAAAAAAAAGATGGAAAAAATTCAAATTAATTTTTGGACCAAACCCAGCCCCTTTGGAAAAATACAAAAATTTCGACTTTTTTAACTTTGTGATTTTAGAGTAAAAATAATGCCTTTTTCCTTTCTAGAGTAACAAAAAAAAAAACATTTTCCTGGCCTATTTAGCCTACAATATAAAGATGAAAAAAATTTCAAATTTTTTACCAAAACCATGGACTAACCCCTTTGGAAAAATCCTGATTCTTCGACTTTTTTAACTTTCTGTTTTTTATAGTCTAAAAGTGCTTTTTGACTTTCTAGAATAACACCTAACACATTTTGCTGGTTGATCTTGCCAAAAATAAATACATAGAAAAATTTTAATTTATTTACCAAAACCATGGATTAACCCCTTTGGAAAAATCCCAATTTTTCAACTTTTTTAACTTTCTGTTTTTTATAGTCTAAAAATGCTTTTTGATTGTCTAGAATAACGTCAAACACATTTTGCTGGCTGATCTTGCCTAACATACAAAGATGGAAAATTTCAATTTTTTTACCAAACCCATGGACCAACTCCTTTGAAAAAATCCTGATTCTTCGACTTTTTTTAACTTTCTGTTTTTTATAGTCTGAAAGCACTTTGTGCGTTCTAGAATAACGTCAAGCACATTTTGCTGGATCCTTCCTTCCTAGTCACCCTAGCCATCCTAGTCACGCTAGTCACCCTAGTCATCCCACTCATCCCAGTCACCCTAGTCACACTAGCCACCCCAGTCATCCAAGTCACCCTAGTCACCCTAGTCATTCTAATCATCCTAGTCAGCCTAGCCATCCTAGTCACCCTAATCATCTCACTCATCCCAGTCACCCTAGTCAAGTTATCCTAGTCATCCCAGTCACCCGAGTCACCCTAGTCATACTAGTCACCCTAGTCATTCCACTCATCCCAGTCACTCTAGTCACACTAGTCACCCCAGTCATCCACGTCACCCTAGTCACCCTAGTCATCCTAGTCAACCTAGCTAGCCATCCTAGTCACCCTAGTCACCCTAATCTTCCTTGTCATCCTAATCACCCTAGTCATCCAAGTCACCCCAGTCACCCCAGTCATCCCACTCATCCCAGTCACCGTAGTCACCTTAGTCATACTAGTCACCCTAGTCACCCTAGTCACCCTAGTCACCCTAGCCATCCTAGTCACCCTAGTCATCCCAATCATCCCTGTCACCCTAGTTATACTAGTCACCCCAGTCATCCAAGTCACCCTAGTTATACTAGTCATCCCAGTCACCCTAGTCATCCTAGTCATCCTAGTCACCGTAGTTATACTAGTCACCCCAGTCATCCAAGTCACCCTAGTTATACTAGTCATTCCACTCATCCCAGTCACCCTAGTCATCCTAGTCACCCTAGTTATAATAGTCACCCCAGTCATCCCAGTCACCCTAGTTATACTAATCATCCCACTCATCCCAGTCACCCTTGTCATCCTAGTCACCCTAGTCATCCCACTCTTCCCACTCATCCCAGTCACCCTAGTCACCCTAGTAATCCTAGTCACTCTAGTCATCCCGCTCATCCCAGTCACTGTAATCACCCTAGTCACCCTATTCACCCTAGTCATCCTAGTCACCCTAGTTATACTAGTCACCCTAGTCACCCTAGCCATCCTAGTCACCCTAGTCATCCCAATCATCCCAGTCACACTAGTTATACTAGTCATCCCAGTCACCCTAGTCATCCTAGTCACCCTAGTTATACTAGTCACCCCAGTCATCCAGTCACCCTATTTATACTAGTCATCCCACTCATCCCAGTCACCCTAGTCATCCTAGTCATCCTAGTCACCCTAGTCATCCCGCTCATCCCAGTCACTGTAGTCACCCTAGTCATACTAGTCACCCTAGTCATACTAGTCATCCCACTCATCCCAGTTACCGTAGTCACCTTAGTAATACTAGTCACCCTAGTCATGCTAGTCACCCTAGTCACCCTAGTCACCCTAGCCATCCTAGTCACCCTAGTCACCCCAGTCATCCAAGTCACCCTAGTTATACTAGTCATCCCAGTCACCCTAGTCATCCTAGTCATCCTAGTCACCCTAGTTATACTAGTCACCCCAGTCATCCCAGTCACCCTAGTTATACTAGTCATCCCACTCATTCCAGTCACCCTAGTCACCCTAGTAATCCTAGTCACCCTAGTCATCCCGCTCATCCCAGTCACTGTAGTCACCCTAGTCATACTAGTCACCCTATTCACCTTAGCCATCCTAGTCACCCTAGTCATCCCACTCATCCCAGTCACCCTAGTCATCTCACTCATCCCAGTCACTGTAGTCACCCTAGTCATAGTAGTCACCCTAGTCACACTAGTCACCCTTTTCACCCTAGCCATCCTAGTCAACCAAGCCATCCTAGTCACCCTAGTCACCCCAGTCATCACAGTCATGCTAGTGATCCCAGTCAACCCAGTAATCCTAGTCATTCCCATTATAATAGTCATCATAGCCATTCTAGTCATCCCAGTCATTTCAGTCAATGAAACCATCCCAGTCATGCCAACCACCTTAGTCATCCTATTCATCACATCATTCATCACAGTCACTCTAGCATTCAGCCATCCTAGTTATCCCAGTCATGCTAGCCATCCATTAATAATAGTTATTCCAGTCACTCCTGTCATTCCTGTCAAACCAGTCATCCCTGTCAACCTCATCATCTTTGTCATCCTAGTAATCCCAGTCATTCCAGTTATTCAAACCATCCCAGGCATGCGTATCACCCCAGTCAACCCAGTCTCTTATCCCTTTTCATCCTCGTAATCCCAGTTATCCCAGTCATCCCAGCCATTCTAGTCATCCTTATCATCACAGTCAACCCATTCAGTGTTGCCATTCTAGTCATCCCAGTCAATTTGTTGTCTTAATCATCCCAGTAATTCCAGTCAACCAAACCTGCATCCCAGTCATCCCAGCCATTCTAGTCATCCTAATCATCACAGTTAACACATTGACTGTTGTCATCCTAATCATCCTGGTCACTCCAGTCATCCCAGTAATCCTAGTAATCCCAGTCATCCAAACCCACATTCCAAGTCATCCCAGCCATTCTAGTCATCCTTGTGATCACAGTCAACCCATTCACATTTTTCATCCTTATCATCCCAGTCATCCCACGAAACCTTTGTATCTTGTCATCCCAGTAATCCAAGTCAACCTAGTCAAACCAGTCATCCAAACCTGCATCCCAGTCATTCCAGCCATCCTAGTCATCACAGCCATCCTAGTCATCCTTATCATCAGAGTCAACCCATTCAAGTGCTGTCATCCTAATCACCCCAGTTACCCCAGTCATCCCAGTCAACCTTGTCATCTTAGTCATCACAGTTATCCTAATCATTCCTGTCAATCCAGTCATCCAAACCTGCATCCCAGTCATCCCAGCCATTCCAGTCATCGTTATCATCACAGTCAACACATTCACTGTTGTCAACTTTATCATCTTGGCAGTCATCCTAGTCAACCCAGTTAGCCTACTTATCTTAATAACCCTAGTCATCCAAGTCACCCTAGTCATCTTAGTCATGCCATTTATCCTAGTCATTTTAGTTATCTTAGTCATCCGAGACACCCCAGTTATTCTAGTCACCCTTGTTATCTTGGACATCCTTGTCACTGCAGTCAGTCTTGTAGTCTTATATAGGAATAAACATGTGATGCTATAAGATCATTGTTTACATTTATTTTGTGAGATCGGTTAAATGACTAGATCTTAGACATTATACTATTGGTACATCCCTTGCTTGTCTCTGTCCCTATAAATACCTAAAGCCAAAAGTTATTATTTGAGTCGCAAATAAGTTTCCAATTGGGTGAAAATGAATTCTTTTTACTTACTAGGTACAGAAGAACAACCGATTTGGCATTACTGCATGGTCCACAACTCATGAGTAGCTCAATGCAGGAGTTCAAAAGCCAAGAGTGAAGAGGCTGGTATAACTAGATTATGGTACCATCAAAGTCAACTTACAACAAATACCTGGTTTAGTATTTATAGAATCATAATTATTAATGCTGACAGTTACAGCCAGTACCTTACCTCAAAGCAGGTACTTGGTTTAAGAATATATCTGACCCAGCCCGGGAGGTCATTGAATGCGGGGTACAGCTGGCCCGGGGGTTTTCCTCCTAGGAGCAAGTGGACGTACGGGGAGGTTTTTCACCCAGCTGTTGTTCCACAACCCCCATTCAGCAGCAATTAGACAAATTCATTTAATTTGGCAGCGAAAAAAAAACAAAAACTAAAGATTGACCTTTTCGACAAATAGGACCCTCATGCATATTAACAGGTCCATGGTATTCCTAACAAGAGTGAATAGATTCACTTGCAATATTTATACCAGTAGTTTTCAAACAACTGAGCTTTGCACATACAAAGAAAACCTAATTTGGTGCGATCAAAAATCAGCTAGTATCTTCAGCACATTTTTGCTGAATACGTAGTGAAATCAATAAGGGTATTTTTTATATTAGGCTGAATTCTTTAATTCACTATTGGAGGGAATACTAAGGTATCTGCAGTATGGCAATAGTAATGATATAATTATTCAGTGTGTGTGCCACCATATTTGTACAAAATAAGCATCACTTACAAAATTTTCTCCACTTTGTTTTTAAGTCTGAGATTGAAAATCTATGACATAATTTATTTATGTAAATAAGTCTTCATCTAGTTAAATTTTTAACCGGACAGCGATCAACTTATCAAAGTTTTTCTAAATTAAGTAAGTTTGTGGTCTTAAGTTTTTTCAAATTGGAGTATTTTGTTCCAAAAAATTTCATGGCGACAAATTAATTTGAAAATGAATGTAGATGCTTATTTGTACTGCATGTACTTACAATTTAATAATTATTAAGTTCAAATGCAAGATTCCTTTGAGTAGTATATAGTTTGAGTAGTATACAATACGTTCTATTATATTTAATTATACTTGAGGGAAGAAAAGGGATTCATAAAACTTTGTGTCAGACAAAGTCAGTGAAAAGCTCTACCCAAGAATAATTATAGTAAGTGTTTATAAAAGACATTTTCCTTAGGAATTAACAATTTTATCAAAATCTGCTACACAGTATGTCATTCAATCACTTGAGAAGAATGCTTTCAAAAATTAGCTTTTAGACCAATTTGGTTTAGTATACTCTAGGGTTAAGTAAAGCTGAGGTGAACGCTCAAGTCTGGTATGGGTCAGGGGTTTCAGGGTGCACCTGCTGGCACATCCCTACTCCAAACTTTTTTACAGTTAACTACCCTTGGACCTAGTACTTCACTGCTCAAAGGAAATCTTGCTAAATATAAATAATAGTGATCATGCTGTTTTGTTATTGTTCCAGTAGTTGGGTGGGTGTGGATATTAACTTTATAGATTATTTTGTACATAAAACTGTAAAAGCTTAATTAAGCCCCCATCTACCTTATAGAGAGTTTTAAAGAATTTTGAGATGATGGTGGGGTGGGGGATAAGGGGAATGAAGAAAGGATTCTCATTATCTCAATATTAAGGAGAAAAATTAGGGGGAAAGTGTTATTTTTTATCCCACCTGCAATCTTGAATTGGTATGATGGAAATCATTTCCTGCATTTTCTGCAAGAGGAATGGCGTTTCAGGTAAGTTGTGGAGGATGTCAGGTAAGAGGATCAGGTTACAAAATTAGTCTGACTACTGTCTGGGTGGGGCTTAATGGAGGTTTTACATGTTATACAGTTAACATTGTGCTGCCAGTAAAGGTGGGGGTGGAATAAGTGTTCTTGTAATAATTTATTGTTTGAGACTATAATTTCATTGGCCATTCACTGACTTTCAGTTTCTAAGATCACTTGACAGCACAATGTTGCTTGTATCTTTAAGGCATGGGAAGCGTCACAACCAGATCACAGCAAAAATAAATCATACAGGAAGGAATATTCAGCTTTACTTAAATGTTATTCCTTTCATCAAAGTAAAAGCCACACACTATAGTTCTTTCCACAGGTCCACCTTCTATCCTAACTCTACTTTTTCATAGGAAATGTTGCACTTCCTGGGCTATATATACAGAGTGGAGCCAATGATTTTTTGAACCTCTTGTAAAATTGAGGATTTTAGAAAACTGGAGTTCAAAGAATTACAGACACTAAACTTCGTTTTGGGCTTTGGGCTTTCTTGCCATTTTGTTGTTGAGAAAGTGCAAGGGCAAATATAAAAAATTACACTGACTTCAGGGATAGGAAAACAAGTTTTGGTTCGAATTATCTAGAGGTTTGGAGAATCAGGATTTCACTGATACAGTATTAGTGTTAACTTATTTCTGAAATTAACACTCTACAATTAAGCAAGCTCATTAGCAAAATATTACCTTTAAATCTCCTAACTAACATTTATGTCTAAACTCAAGGTTTATACAGGCTAAGAGAAATAAGTACTGGATAGGCATACATCGTTAAATTCCCGACATAAAAGGGTAAAATGATTATGAATAGACCATATTCCATAAAACTTTTGATGATTTTCCGTAAGGGGAAAATATGACTTTTTTTTTCAGCCAAAGGCATCTCTAACTTTCAGTCGTCACAAAGCTACAGCTGGAATTGCATCTAAATTTTGCAGGCGAAATCTACAAAGCAAAGTTTGGATAGGAATAGGAAAGCATTATTTTATAACCACAATGACCTTGATTATTGAAGTCCCAATACCAATTGCCAAATTCTCCTTACTGGTCCTCTGGTAAGGAGTATGTATGCAAGTATCAAGAAGGTATAGTTTCATTTTCGTTTGATTAGTAATAAGTTGGTGATTGATTTTGGTCACTGTTGGGACTTCAAAGTTAGGTCCCATCGGTGCACAAATGATTTTGTCCATTCAGATTAATTTTAAAAAAGAAATCCAAAGCAACAGGAAATTCTCTTAAGAAACAGTGAGGCTGGTAAAAACGTTAGGCTCAATGGTAGTATCTTAAGTATTACAACACTAAGTAGATTTTTCATTAGTGTACATGTACACTATGTCTATAAGGCAATCTCTAGTCTGCTTGTTCTTTTTTTTTTTTTCTAGGCAACTTGCAGTGAAATGTTTCCAAATCGCTGATAATTTCACAACTGAAACTTTCTTTATTATTATTAAATTTTGCGAACAAAACAGACTAGAGACTTTTGATTGACTTTATATTCTTTTTTAATAAT